GTGGTCTAGTAAATCTTACTTTAAAGAATCTTACTTCATTTTGATATTTGAGTGCTTTTTTGTGATATTTGGTAATAGGACAATTGGAAAAATCCGTTTCTGTGAACATCAGACCGTGGCATTGTTCTATATGTGATATTATCCATTTTGCATAATCTTGATGATCAGTTGCTATTAGTATCTCCCCTGTTTTTAACATTTTTTTTGTTAGTAAATTTAAAAATTCTATGTTAATCAAGCGTCTTTTATGATGGCTTCGTTTTGGCCACGGATCTGGAAATAAGATGAAAAATCTTTCAATACTGTTATCAGGAAAATTGATAAGCAACTTTCTTGCATCTTCAATCCATATTAGAATATTTATTATGTTATGCTTTTTTACATCCATTAACAAATTAGAAACCCCCTTTAAATAAGGTTCACATCCTATAAGTAGCACGTCAGTTTCATTTTTAGCTTGGTGAAGCATATTTTCACCGCTGCCAAAACCTATTTCTACCCATATTCTTTTGTGTGAATTTATGATTTTTTCTATGGACTCTTGACTGCTTTGTATAGAATATTGCTCAAATACTTCATCAGTACTAGGATTTAACCTAGATCTTCTAGAAAATGACTTAATCCATTTTTTGTTTTCGATAATGTGCATATAATATTACTACAATAAGTTCTAAGTTNGGTGCTCCGTATGGATTGCTTGGATTTTGGTTTGTAGAGGTTGGGGGGTTATATAATTCTTATTTTAAAGAATCTTACTTCATGTTGATATTTGAGTGCTTTTTTTTATGATGTCCTATAATAGGACAATTGGAAAAATCCGTTTCTGTGAACATTAGGCAATGGCATTGTTCTATATATGATATTATCCATTTTATATAATCTTGATGATCATTTGCTATTAATATCCCCCATGTTTTTAACATTTTTTGTTAATAAATTTAAAAATTCTATGTTAATTAAGTGTCTTTTGTGATGGCTTTGTTTTGGCCACGGATCTAGAGATAAGATAAAAAACCTTTCAATACTATTATCAGGAAAATTAACAAGAACTTTCTTGCATCTTTAATACACATTAGAATACTTGTTATGTCATACTTTTTTACATCCATTAACAAATTAGAACCCCCCTTTAAATAAGGCTCGCATCCTATAAGCAGCACTTCAGTTTCATTTTTAGTTTGGTGAAGTATGTTTTACCGCTGCCGAAACCTATTTCTACCATATTCTTTTGTGTGAATTTATGATTTTTTCTATGGACTCTCTATGCTTTATATAGAATTTTGCTCAAATACTTCATCAATACTAGGATCTAAAACCTAGATCTTCTAGAAAATGACTTAATCCATTTTTATCTTCGATAATGTGCATATTCTATTACTAGAATAAGTTCTAAGTTATATTT